ACTGATCTTCTTCTCCATTTTTGCATCTTCCTCGGTCGTGCCACTGCTCTCCCCTCTTTCTTATCTACGTCTTCTTTCAAGGCGTTCTTCCTCTTCTTCTGCTGCTGCTTCTTCTTCTTCAGCAACCTTTCTTCTTTCTTCCTCCTCCTGCTGAACCCTCATCATCTCCTCCTCCAGCTTTTTCCTTTTCGCCGCCTGCTCCTCTGCGATCGCTTTTAACTTCGCCTGCTTCTGAAGCTCTTTCTTTTCCCTATTCTCTCTCACTAGGGCGGCCATCTGCTCTTGTTGAGCCGGAGTATAGGGGCTAGTACTCTTCCCACTGCGGGTGTCAACCATGGTGATAAGTGTACAACCGGGTCAACACTTCCAAACCTCACCACTTAGACTCTAACCCCTGACTGACAAACTTACTGACTCAATCTAGAGACTCACAGAATCCGAACAGGGATCCAGCAACTAGGATCTCTAGCCTAGACCTACTCAAAGGCTGTCACTACAAGACCTGTTGCTGATCAGGAGGCGTTTAAGGAGATCCCCCGTAACTCTTCAGGAATTGTTTAACGTCGCAGACAGGACGACGTGATCAGCAAGTCTTCTCAAGACTTAGACGACCTGTTCTGCAGCCCACAACTCAGATTTCGGGCCTACCATGCCACACCGAGCAGCTCGCCGGTCAGTACCGGTCCTTGGGAGGGTTCGTGTCCTCCACGATAGTCGAGTCGTCAGACACAGTCTTTAGCCCTACTCAGTCCGGCAGGGGTTTGGTCAACGAGGCCCTATCCTTCATCCATGGAATTCCTACACCTGGACAAAAGAGACTCAATGCAGAAAGAAGAGACAGACAGACTTGACTCAACAAGTACCACAGGGTGTGTGCACATCCATAGGGCGAGGGGATAGGCTGAAGGCTTGGCGAGAATATACCGGCTCCAGCTTGGTCAACTCGTGGTCAACGGTCTTGGTCAACGCTGCAGTCAACCCCCGGACAAGCCCCGATCAACACTTTCGGTCAACTCCCGGTCACACCCAATCAACGCCCGGTCAACACCTGGTCAACTCTCCCGGGCGGCTATGGCGGCCGACGACTCCTTCCTCACCACCCTTCTCCTTCCTTCTCTTCACCTCGCCTCTTTCTTCTTCACCTTGGCTGTCTTCTTTCTCTCTTTTTTTTTTTTTTTTTTTTTTTTCCCTCTCCCTTCACCTCCTCGGTTATGGCTTCCTTCACCCTCCTTGGTCTCCTCCTCTGTCCTCTCTCTCTCCCTCTTCGTTACTCCGCTTCCTTTCTCCTCGTGGGACTGCACGACGCACTTCACAGATAAGTGACAACCAAACTTGTATCGCTCATCTCTCTCCTCTCTCTCTCTCTCCTCTCACCCTAGCGATGTCTTCGGCGCAGGTACGTGGTAAGCCAATCTTGTATCGCTCAACGCTTCTCTCTCCTCTCTCTCTCTCTCTCTCTCTCTCTCTCTCTCTCTCTCTCTCTCTCTCTCTCTCTCTCTCTCTCTCTTCTTCTTCGTCGTGGTCTTCTCTGCAGGTGTGCGCGGCGGCTTCTTCGACCTCCAGGTCCGCTATGGCGGACTTCTTCTCTCGGCGGCCACCTCAGCTATGGCGCATCATCTCCCTGCGACACACAACGCGGCGTGTGGAATAGCGGGTACCAGCTCCGATACCAATGCAATCAGACTTGCTTTCATTCACACTTTACATGCATGCAAACAGCAGCGCAGCAAACTGGCGACATGTGCCCACTCAATACTCAAAGATATGGCAACCCAGATACGAGTTCATTTCCAATGGTTATGGCGACACAGCGCCCATACAACTCTCTGTTCGCATACAGTGGATCACCCTGGATATCCCACACTCGACTCTCTGAACAGTCGCACACACACACACTGAACCCCAACTACAGCTATGGCGGCTATGGCCGCCGCTACACTATCGCTATGGCTAAGCTTCGTCTCTCTGCCCACTTCGTCTTCGGGCTCACTGCAGACCTCCTTGCACAAGTCGCTGTGGMAGCGCTTCCGCATGGCTCACRCAGGAATGAATGAATGGCTGGGCGCTGCCTMTTGATTTATACTTCTGCAGTGCRTTGGTCTGGCCMTTTCCCATGCCCGAAGTGCACACAGTCCSATGYGGTACTTGCTGGACTGGACTAGGACTGACTGGGGAATGGGACTGTTGACTCARCACGGGTAGACTCCACCACTTGCCCACTTGCCTCGCCACTTGCCCACTTGCCTCGCCACTTGCCCACTTGCCTCAGTCTAAACGTGGGCAACTTCGAAAGGCCACTACTGGGACCTTCCGGAAGGCCGTGGACTTGGCCTTTCGTGACTGTAGCAGCTACGACCTTGACCCTTCTGGACTGTAGCGGCTACGACCTTGACCTTTCGGGAAAGCTACAGCTACGACTTCTAGACCTGACTAAGACTCCTACTCGACAGGTCTACAGATCGAACCCCTACGACCTCTGGACCCTACGGCAGTCTACCACTGTTACAAATACACAGGTCATGGGTTCAACTCTAGGGGTCGACACAGGTACTGTACACAGGTAAGCTGGCGACTAGGGATCGAGCCCTGGGATCTCAATCAGCTACTGTGAACTGGCGAATACCGTTTCAATCACCCCTTCAGTTTAAATTTTGTCTGTTCTCGTAATGATGCTCATTTATATGCATTGAGTAGCGAGAAGTGGAGGGACAACCAATAGCACAGAGAGACAAACTCCACAGGGTTCTCAGTACTCACGGCGAGAGCAGGCGACTATGGAATGCACAAGAGGCCAGTCAATGTTTGGGTTGTAGAGAAAATTAAGTGGAGGAGCAGGCATTGCCTATCGTAAGCGGCCACCCGTGCGGACTGGACACAACAGTTCAGGTGTGGACCGTAGAAGCACCGAATCCAAGTCTCGCAGTTGCAGTTGCTGCATCGAATGGCACAGCGTAGACAGATGTCACTGGCTACATGACTCCTAAATGCTAGGAACGGAGCCATGTGGACCACAATTGCAAACACAAGTAGTTGCACTAGAAACATAGGACCCAGATATGCCGATGTAGCCCCTGCCGGACCAAAACGTGAAACAGTATCCACCAGAGGTTCAAACAGGACAGACCTGACATCGATAAAATGATATGAGAAGAGACAACATATCTGCTTACCTGCCTGAAACTGACTCATTAGGGCCCTCGTGATGGCTGAGGCCCTCTCGGCCAGTTGAAGGCCCCAAAAGGGGGCAGGCGGACTAGGAACCTTCCCAAAACATTGTCCAAGTCTCCCAGACCCTGTGCAGGAGGCCCCAGCACGCCACAGGGGTGCTGCAACATCTCAGTGCCCCAGCTCTAGCGACTTTTAATTCCCAAATCTTAGGGGGAAAAAAACAATGACGTTCCGTAGATTCCCGTGTTAGGGCAAACTTAGGTCAATCAAGGAATTTTGGGGGAAAATGTTCTGTTATGCTCTCAAAGATGCATTCATTTGCATTATGCCCCTCAAATAGCCAACTTACACCTGGCATGCCCCTCCAGCTGGGAAGCTTTTTGGCAGGCCCCTGTCGGAGGGCAGGTGCAACTTTGTGGCGTGCCCGGAACCGGTAAGGACAAGTAAAAAACGTCCGTCCAAGCTCCAAATGTCAGGTCCGAGCAATGTCAGGAAAAGCTGAACCGGTACCAGTAGGGACATACTGAAAAAATGTCAGGTCCGAGCAATGTCAGGATATTTCACAAATTTGAACCTCCATCAGAGGGGCATGCCAGTGTAAGCTAAGTGTTTGGGATGCAGAACGCAAATAACAAAACTTGTCACTTGTTTTGGCTGTCATAAACATATTTGCCTACATATTTCTTCAAACCGAATGCATATGCTTGCCCCACCATGCTGTGATGTGGCAGGCTCAACCTTTCAAGCTGGGAAGAACACGGCCGATGTCAACATCAGGTTCGACAAAATTGATTCAGGGGTGGTTAAACTGGAGAAAAATTAAAAGCAAGATTCCCAGCTCTAATGGAGAGTGCTCATACATCCATCTTTTTATTCAATTGCAAGCAAAGAAAAAATCAGCAGACATCCTTTTTCCCACACGGGAGAATGATCATGCAAGCCATAAGCACCCAGGGTCCTCTCAACAATGTGCTTCAAGGAGTTTGTTTTGTCACACTCTGTTTAACGCGCATGTCGTACCATCACTTAACCAGAGTGACTTCTTTGGCAAATGAATGAGTCATATGGCAAAGGGGCATGAAGAAGAAACATAACAATAGAAGGGCCTCCTTTACCATCACTTAACCAGAGTGACTCATTTGGCAAATGAGCGAGCCACATGGCAAAGGGGCATGAGGAAGAAACACAACAATAGAAGGGCGAAACTGATGCCTGCCATTTTTACCTCTTCGCTTGTGTGAGGGGTCTGTTACTGTGTGACCTGACAGGCTTCATCCACTTGCAGACCTTAGTTGAGAAAGCCTACATTAGCAGCACAGGCGCAGGTTATACAAAACAGGCGTGCTAAGCAGAGTAACCGGGGAGGGGGGGAGGGGGGGGAGGGGGGCGGGGGGGCTTGATCAGGTTGTCAAACGACTGAGACCTTTGGGCCTTAGCACTGATCTATGGGGTCAACCTATTTCTGGGGAAGAAAAGGTAAAGAGTAGAGACAACCCCAACCCCTCTATAGAAGATGACCATCTATTCCCATCATATTGGCACGTCTGCTCTCCTTCAAGATCTACTTTTCGACAATACACAAGCCAAGCTATCCACCTTCGATAGCAGAGCTACCCAGTCCAGCTGGGACACCAAGCAGGATAGAATGGGAACAGTTACAGCATGGTCTTCTGGGCTTTCTCTTTCGTTAGTCATACACAAGCCAAGCAGCCACTGTGCAGCATTGTCCACCATTCCTTGGGGGAAATTGGTCAAAATCTGGCATGAAACAGGATACAGCCAAAGGAGAAGCCTGGGTTTACTCTGTAAGTGTTGGCCATGAACGAACATACCCCAATAAAGGAAACTATAGCGAGGAGGATGGCGACGGAGTAACCTCTCTGCAGAACTGCCATTGGATCTTCGACAGGAGTCTTTGATCCCGCACCTCTCGTTCCTTTGACCGACATGATACCGATTGCTGAGACGATCAGATCAAAGGAATGCACCACTAAAGGAAACAATACAAACCCAGAAGGGTCTGCAACCCCACAGCCATGCACATGACAACCATAGGGATAAACTGTTAAAAGAATGTGAAGGAGAGGTGCGAATAGCATAAGATTTAACAACAACGACTACATACTAGTCAAATATCTTGAGAGGATGGAATGTTGTACGCAAGCATAGCAAAGTAGGTGAGGAGAACCTACACACTAAACAAACAATAGTGGAAATGATAGTTCACTGGAAAGGGAACCCCACAAAACTGAAGATACTGACTTCAGATTGCTACACAAACTAGTACAGTTATTGCAAAGACATGCTGAAGCCAGTAAGCGAGCATGTTTCCCTAGTGGACAAGACAACCCAAACGCAGATTTTTATTAACGGAGGTGAAAGATTCCGAGTGAAAAGCGTCAACAGATGTAGAAACAGAGGTGCCAACGAGCCGAGCCTAGCTCAGTTGGTACACCCACGGATTGTTGAAATACAGAGTTCAAATTTCGAATCCAGATACTATGTTACATGCTGCGCCTGCACACGGGGCCCATTTAAAGGGCCCGACGGTTGCTGAGGGGCCCCCAGGCCGCATGCCCATCAGACACGCGCCCTGGAGGCCCACAGCGGCCCTCCAGGCCACAGGTACAATTTGAGGCAGCACTCATTTATTTATTTATTTATGTACGTATGTGCTGTCCCATTTTTGTCTGTTCAGACGTCGTTTCGGACTTGCAGTCCCCAAGGCACGGCCTTGGATTGGGTGCACCAGAGGCAGGGCCGAAAGAGGCCCAGGCGCCTGGTAGGGGCCCCAACTGTGCCGGCCGTTTTAGGCCACACAGCAGCCCACCCAATAGGGCCCAGCGATGCATATAGCTCGGCCACGACCTCGGCAGAGGACAGTTCGAGTAGCTCACTTCTCGAGAGACACGCTGCTGGTTAGGCGATGTGCTGCTTAGCGCTGCGCTGGAGGTTGGTAGTAGAGGCGTAGGAGGCAGAGGGGCGGAGGCCATACCTGCAGCGGCGGACCCACCTGGCGGCATAGCTGGGACTCCGCGCTACCTGCACAGGACGACAACAGCGCGGCAGTCGGTGCACAGCAGCAGTTACCTGCGAGGAGGACGACATCTTTGCGAGGCCATTGCCTCTGTGAGCCCCTTTCGGCCCCTCTTTTACAGCCCGTCGGCCGCCCTAAGTGAAGGCAGGCCCGACGAGGCCTTCAGGGCCTTATTTCGGCCTCTGCGCAACTAAGGAAATTCAGGCAGTTGCGCAGCGCCAGTTGGTTGAAGAAACACAGGCCCTGGGCCGCCTGTGTGAATGAATGGAAAGCAGGCCCTGGGCTGGATACGGGTACTGGGCCACACACATGCCAAAGGCAGTTGGGCACATGCAACTACCGCAGGCCCCAGGCCTGTGATCGATCGTACTGGGCCTCAAGCTACCGGGGCCTACTGGAAGCTTCCTGGGACTGGACGCAGGCAGGCCACTTCGATATAGCAAAGGGCCTGCCTCCTCATTCGGCATTCGGGGGCTGGCTGCATGCTGAGCAAGCGCTGCTGTGCTATTTGCTGGCTGGCGCCTACGCTCTCACGGGCGAGCAGGGAAGGAGCACGCAGCCATAGCCAAGCTCCGCTGCTGTAAGCTGGGTGAACCGCAGGGTGGTTCCTGGGTGCTAGTGGCATCTGTGAGTTGGGGAACGAGGTTGTGAGTGTAGCGCGAGACATACCTGGTGCTGGAAGCGGGCGACATTGGTCGCCATATGCTCGTACTTCGGGAATGCTGTTGACGTCATCTTTCGGCTTCGTAGTATAGGCTAGATAGGATCTGCCACATGTAGTCTGGGTGCCGAGCGCCAGATAGGATATCAACTCTGGTTCTTCGTTGATGATGATGGGACTATTTCAGCTTTGTCAATTATAAACTTTTGGTGTATTCTTATTTGGTGAATCTCGTGATGCAATTCTGCTGTTGGTTCGAGGTCAAGACTGTCTGGACTTATATGTATGATGCTGTTTGATTGCTGAAGTTCGCTATTGCTCATCTTCCTTGCATCTTCTTGTTCTTTGTCGTCTTGAAACGGTATTCACCAGTTCGCAGTAGCTGATGCAGATCCCAGGGCTCGATCCCTAGTCCCCACCTTACCTGTGTACAGTATCTGTGTTGACCCTCAGAGTTGAACCCGTGACCTGTGTATTTGTAACAGTTGCTAGGTTGTCGTAGGCTCCATAGGTAGCAGGGATTCGATCTGTAGACCTGTCGAGTAGAAGTTCCAGTCATGTCTAGCAGTCGTAGCTGTAGTTGTCTCGAAGGGTCAAGGTCGTGGCTGCTACAGTAACGAAGGGCCAAGTCTACGGCCTTCCGGAAGGTCCCAGTAATGGCCTTTCGAAGTTGCCCACGTTTAGGCTGAGGCAAGTGGGCAAGTGATGAGGCAAGTGGGCAAGTGGTAAGGCAAGTGGGCAAGTGGTGGGAGTCTACCATGCTGAGTCAACAGTCCCAGTCCCCAGTCAGTCCTTGTCCAGTCAAGCAAGTACCGCATGGGACTGTGTGCACTTCGGGCATGGGAAAGGGCCAGACCAACGAGCTGCAGAAGTATAAATCAAGAGGCAGCGCCCAGTCATTCATTCATTCCTGCGTGAGCCATGCGGAAGCGCTGCCACAGCGACTTGTGCAAGGAGGTCTGCAGTGAGCCCGAAGATGAAGTGGGCAGAGAGACGAAGCTTAGCCATAGCAATAGGGTAGCGGCGGCCATAGCCGCCATAGCTGTAGTTGGAGTTCAGTGTGTGAGTGTGTGAGTGTGAACAGAGTATCGCGTGTGGGATATCCAGGGTGATCCAGTGTGTGTGAACAGAGAGTTGTGTGGGCGCTGTGTCGCCATAGCCGTTTGAAGTGAACTCGTATCTGGGTTGCTATATCTCTGAGTACTGTGTGGGCGCATGTCGCCAGTTGCTGCGCTACTGTTTGCATGCATGTAAAGTGTGAATGAAAGTGAGTCTGATTGCATTGGTATCGGAGATGGTACCCGCTATTCCACGCGCAGCGTTGTGTGTCGCAGGGAGAGTGATGGGCCGAAGCTGAGGTGGCCACCGAGAGACGAAGTCCGCCATAGCGGACCTGGAGGTTGAAGAAGCCGCCGCGCGCACCTGCAAAGAAGACCACGACGAAGAAGAAGACAGAGAGCGAGGGAGAGAGAGAGAGCGAGGAGAGAGAAGGGTTGAGTTATACAAGATTGGCTTACCACGTATCTGCGTTGAAGGCATCGCTACCGCGAGAGAGAGAGGGGAGAGAGATGAGCAATACATGTTTGGTTGTCACTTACCTGTGAAGTGTGCCGTGCAGTCCCATGAAGTAAGAGGCGGCCATAGCCGCAGAGCTTGACCACAGAGCAAAGGAGGGTGGAAGAGAAGACAGAGGAGGAGACTGAGGAAGGTGAAAGAAGCCATAGCCGAGGAGGTGGAAGGACAGGCGATCAACAAAAAAAAGAGAAACAAGACAGCCGGGGTGAAGAGAAAGGAGGCGAGGAAGGAGAAAGGAAGAAGAAGGGCGGTGAGGAAGGAGAAGCCGGCAGCCATAGCCGACTAGAGGAGTTGACTGGGAGAGTTGAGCAGGCGTTGACCAGGCGTTGACCAGGTGTGACCGGGAGTTGACCGGAGGTGTTGACCGGGGTTGAACGGGCGTTGACCGGAGTAACCAGGAGTTGACCGGAGGTGTTGACCGGGGTTGAACGGGCGTTGACCGGAGTAGACTGGGGGTTGACCGAGGGTCGACTGCAGCGTTGACCAAGCATTGACCAAGAGGTTGACCAAGTTGTTTGCCAAGGCGTTGACCAAGACTGTTGACCACAAGTTTGACCAGGCTGGAGCCGGTATATTCTTGCCAAGCCTTCAGCCTATCCCCTCGCCCTATGGATGTGCACACACCCTGTGGTACTTGCTGAGTCAAGTCTGTCTGTCTCACCTTTCTGCATCGAGTCTCTTCTGTCTAGGTGTAGGAACTCTATGGATGAAGGATAGGGCCTTGTTGACCACACGGGCTGAGTAGGGCTAAAGACTGTCTTACGACTCGACTGCCCCGAGGGACACGAACCCTCCCAAGGACAGGTACTGACCGGCGGGCTGCTCGGTGTGGCACGGTAGGCCCAAAATCCGAGCTGTGGGCTGCACAACAGGCCGTCTAAGTATTGAGAAGACCTGCTGATCACGTCGTCCTGTCTGCGACTTTAAAGAATTCCTGAGGAGTTACAGGGGATCTCCTTAGATGCCTCCTGATCAGCAACAGGTCTTGTAGTGACAACCTTAGAGTAGGTCCAGGCTAGTGACCCTAGTTGACAGGATCCTGTCCGGATTCTCGAAGTCTTTAGATTAAGTCAGTAGGTGTGTCAGTCAGGGGGAGTAGAGTCTAAGTGGTGAGGAGTGGAACCGCTGATTGGTTGTGCACCTTCCACCATGGTTGACACCCGTAGTGGGAAGAGTACTGCCCCCTCCGAGGCCGAGCAGGCCCGGATTGCCGCCCTTTTGAGAGAGAAGAAAGAGAAGGAGCTCCTGAAGCAGGCGAAGCTAAAGGCCATTGCAGAGGAGCAGCTGACAAAGAAGAATTGAGGTTTCAGAAGGAGAAGATAATGCTGTTAGAACGAGAGGAAGATGAGAGGAAGAAGGCTGCAGAAGAAGCAGCAGCAGCAGATGGCCCCTTGAGAGAAGACAAGGAGGAGAGAGAGGGGAGACAAGTGGCACAAAGGGAGAGGACGCGTGGATGGAGAAGAAGATTACTGAGTGGGTGGCTAATTTATCGTTAGGGGAGGATGAGGAGGCACAGTTATATGTGCCGCATGAGGAGAAAGAAGCGTTTGCCAGAGAACTGGAGACGAAAGAAGATCCCCTGGAACTCCAAACGACAAAGGACGAGAAAAAGTAGTGGAAACTGAGAATGATGAGGGAGAAGAAGAGGACGAGAGAGGAGGTCAACAGAGTGTCGAAAGAGTGGACGAGGTTCAAGCCTGTAGAGAAGAGGTGCAGGCACAAGTGGAGGTCCCCGCCAAATTAGATA